TCTATTTGTTTATTATTATATTGTAATGTAATTAAATTAATTCTCCTTTCTCGCCTCTCATATTTAGTATTAGATTTGGATATCGTTAACCCAAGGCTATATTGTTGGAGTTTTAATTCCACATTAGCTTGAATTATTTGCAATTTACTAATAAACGTATAAATATCCGGGTGGGCTGTTTTAATTAATTTTTTCAGCTCATTATGAAAACCCTCCACGTTATTATTAGTTCTTGGGCCTTCTACGTTGTAGCGACTCCAAAACGTGGAGTTAAAGTTATTCGTACATATGTACGTGTTTGAAAATTATAACATAAATTGCCTCAGAGCTTCGATATTTAAAGCCTCTGACTCAATAAATGTCTGGGTATACACAGTGGATAACTGCGAAGGATTGCAAAATGGTAGTGCAAATATCCTCCGAAGTATACCCTGAACATCGGCCCTTTCCTTATAATCTCTGGTCAATGATAAGCTTTGGATTTTCCTCCACAAAGATTGACCATAGTGGAAGAAGCACCCTGGAATAAATAAATATTATTAAATATATATTGTTTTAATTTACCTCGGATCAGAGCATAAAGAAAAACAATTAGAAGAGCTAGCTTCATGCTAATTTCAAAATCGATTTGAATCGATTCGGGCTCTAGTAGAAGTCATCCATGTAGAGCGCACTTATCTTTAACCATTTCTAGGAATTTAATATAAGTTGATTTTCGCTTATCAGGTAATATAGCGAAAATCACACATATCATACTTTTCCCGATTAATACATGTATTGTATATAATTGGGTGAAATGAGTTGGAGTAGTAAAAAACGTGCCATCCATGTATAAATTTTTGGATGAGCACATAAGTTTAAAAAAATCAAGTGTCCCATATATTATGATATCTTTATTTGGTGTATGTGCCAATAAAAATGGTGAGCCCTGAAGAGTATTATTGTAATTTGTTAAATTGATTGAATATGTGTCCTGAGGGAGGAAAGGCACATAACCAGGTACCACTCTTTTCATCATTTTTATAACAGAATGCAAGGGTGGGATCGTCTCTGGATATTTATGTATCTGGATTAGACATAACTTCAACCATCACATTACTGTAGATGGTGGAAATATTTTAAAATGGATTTGCTATCATCGCATTTTTAAGACTATTACGGGTTTTTATACCATAATATTCAGATAAATCATCAATATGTGTATGTGCATATTTTGATTTTACATGGAATTGATTATTTGTGAATATAGCGCGCGAGGGGCAGTTTAGTTGGCGGCATCTGTTTATAAAAAATTAAAATAAAATATAAATAAACACTCAAAATATAACTTCGTAGAATATTTATTTATAAAAGTTTGTTTAATTACATATAATATTTGGTCTATAGATACTTTTGATGAAATATCAATAAATTGTATCTTTTTGATTTAATATATTCAAAATTATCTGCAAATATTTAATGTAAAAATTAATCATCATAATATTTTACTAGGATCTTGATGAATTAAATTTGATTTATCTAATGAATCAGTTGTTACTATGTCAGAAATGAGATCTATAATATAGAATTAGAAATTGATTTAAAGTATTATCGAATACTGAGATTAGTTTGATTTGAAACAAAACCATCGATCGCTAATCGAATTCCATCATTTAAACTTCTCACTATTGACAGAATAGAATAAAATAATTTAAAAATAAATACCAAAATCAGTTTGATTAGAAATAGAATTTGATGAAGTTCCACCACCAAATCTCGTGCTTCGAATAGAGGTTTGATCTAAAATGTTTAAATAGTAAAAGATTTGAAATATTATAAACATAAATATTAATTATATAAATAAATTTTAAATAGATGAATCAAATTTAATTCATCAAGATCCTAGTAAAATATTATGATGATTAATTTTTACATTAAATATTTGCAGATAATATTGAATATATTAAATCAAAAAGATTCAATTTATTGATATTTCATCAAAAGTATCTATATGTTTGCAATCGAACTTACAAAGAGACCAAATATTATATGTAATTAAACAAACTTTTATAAATAATAAATATTATACGAAGTTATATTTTGAGTGTTTATTTATATTTTATTTTAATTTTTTATAAACAGATGCCGCCAACTAAACTGCCCCTCGCCCGCTATATTCACAAATAATCAATTCCATGTAAAATCAAAATATGTACATACACATATTGATGATTTATCTGAATATTATGGTATAAAAACCCGTAATATTCTTAAAAATGCGATGATAGCAAATCCATTTTAAAATATTTCCACCATCTACAGTAATGTGATGGTTAAAGTTATGTATAATCCAGATATACATAAATATCCAGAGGCGATCCCACCCTTGCATTCTGTTATAAAAATGATGAAAAGAGTGGTACCTGGTTATGTGCCTTTCCTCCCTCAGGACACATATTCAATCAATTTAACAAATTACAATAATACTCTTCAGGGCTCACCATTTTTGTTGGCACATACACCAAATAAAGATATCATAATATATGGGACACTTGATTTTTTAAAACTTATATGTGCTCATCCAAAAATTTATACATGGGAGGCACGTTTTTTACTGCTCCAACTCATTTCACCCAATTATATACAATACATGTATTAATCGGGAAAAGTATGATATGTGTGATTTTCGCTATATTACCTGATAAGCGAAAATCAACTTATATTAAATTCCTAGAAATGGTTAAAGATAAGTGCGCTCTACATGGAGGACTTCTGCTAGAGCCCGAATCGATTCAAATCGATTTTGAAATTAGCATGAAGCTAGCTCTTCTAGTTGTTTTTCCTTTTGCTGTGATCCGAGGTAAATTAAAACAATATATATTTAATAATATTTATTTATTCCAGGGTGCTTCTTCCACTATGGTCAATCTTTGTGGAAGAAAATCCAAAGCTAATCATTGACCAGAGATTATAAGGAAAGGGCCGATGTTCAGGGTATACTTCGGAGGATATTTTATAAAATAATTTAAATAATAAAAATCAATTAAGCTTCAATTGCTAAATTGATATTAGACATTATGAGTGATATTGATATTCCATTTTTAACATCGAATTTGATTGTAAGGTGACATAGTGAAAATATAATTTATATGTATTAATCTAATCTAATAATTATAATAATAATCATTTAATAAAAATTTAGATAGTCTTATTGATTTTTAAATAATAAAATTAAATATATATATTAATTATATAAAAGAAATCGCTTAGGGGGGTATTAAGGAGCCATTAAAAAATTTTTTTTGTTTCAGGGACTCAAATTTTTTAAAAGGCCCGAGCCCCTACGTCCCTCGCTAGTGACTCTACTGGTAAATAGTCATAATATTGTTACATGAGACAAACCGGGGTTAATAAATTTAATAACGATTGATCCTCAATAAATGTCAATCAAATTATTCTAATAGTTATCTTTATTGGAATATTCACCCAATGGCATTCTTTATACCAATATTATTCCAATGATAATCATTATATTGATTTCTCCATCATATTGCTTATCTTAGTTGTGTTTTATTTCCTTTATAAGATTAGATATATCCAATTTGGGATAGCTAATCAAAAGATCTATCCAGCTGGAGATCAACCTCTCCCAGTGTCTACATTAGAGGGGTGGGGGGTTAGCAACAGTTTGCATCCAAATTTTTTTGAGGGGGTTAGGTGCCTTTGATGGGGGTAGGATAAATTTTTTTGGGGGTTATCTATTAAATTTTGAGATGTAAAAGGACAAAATATATTGCTGTAAAAATTAAAACTTTTATTATAAACTTATTATAATACAATGATATTTCTAATCATCGACCAAATCTATGTATATTGCAAACAATCATAGACATTATTTTCCAAAATAAAACATTATGCTATCCTTTAAAATGTAATTTAAAAGGTTTAGACATTCTCAGCAAGCTCATAATGCTATAATAATGCATTCATTGTAAATGTGGGGGTTTTTAATTGAATTCATGATCTAAAAAATAACTTTTATATATATAATATTTTGATAGTTGGTAGTAGGGCTAAAATTATTCAAAATTAAAAATATTTTTTGATTGTAATAATAATTATCACTCTAATTAAGCGGGTCTAAGAGGGGGGGGGGGGGGGTCAGAAATATTTTTATCGTCACTAAATATTGATATGGGTTAAAATATAAGTAAAAAATAAATGTATGCAAATTACATCTAAAAATAATAATGAATGAATGCGTTTTCAAGTTCCTTTTCGATGGTCCTTTTTATTTCTAATTATCACCTCATATTTCCATATAATGGCTACCGAATAAAAAGCTAATTAAAATAAAGGAGATAATTATGATGCGACGTCATTCTTGACGGCATATCTAGCTAGTTATATATAGTTATGTATAAAATAAACCTTCAATTATTATTTGGGACATTTCACAACTGTTTTCGGGAACATTCTCGGTATCACTTTCCTTTCACCTTTCATAATATTCCCAAGGTGATTTTTCATGTTTATATTAGAGTTATCAAAAAAATAAAAAGAATTGTGATTAAAATAAGATTGATGTGGTAAGTTGTGTTAAAAGATACTTTTTTAGATGGATCTAAAAACAATACAGATACCACTAAAATAATATCTAGATACAGATTCCACATTTTTATATCTATTTACAGTATCCAGATACTTAATAACTCTGCTAATTTTAATTGTTTAGTTTTGACATTATTTTAATTTGAGTATACTTTAATTAGATTCTGGACATCAAGGAATTGAAATTAGCCAATTCTATAACTTTCTATCTATAAAATGGATATTTCTTATGAAAATCTATTTTCGGACCTTCTCGTTTCTTTGAATCCTATTTTAAGATTTTGAGTAAACGTGATTGTTTAATTATATATGATAATATGCCCTTGTTAACATTTGGTAACTGAGCATTAATGATTTTTTGTATTAAGACTACAAGCCATTAATTTATATTTTATATTATGGTAAACCAGGGAAAGACTTTAACAAAGTTCTAGAAGAAGGTGACAGTGATAAAGATGAAGAATCGGAATCCGAAGAAATTACTAGAGATAACTGGGGAACATCCAAATCAATATATTATAATTCAGATTCCGCTTCTCTCAAAGCTGACCAAAAACGAGGTCTAAAAGGTCCAAAGTTATCCAAAATCGAGAAAGAATTGGAACAAAAAGAAGTACATAATTTAAATTTTTTTAAAAATAATGGTGGGTTGGGCTTCGGGATAGCAATTCTAATATTTTATTTACATTATTAGCTATTGAGGATGGAGGAAGAAGAAGCACTAATATTACAAAAGCAAATGATGGAAGAGCTAAAGGACGAAGATTTCGGTTTGGATTTTATCAACGTAAAATACTTTTTTAAAAATCTCAAATTAAATTATATTCCAGGAAATGGCCCAAAAATTTAACGACACAAATTCTGCGGCGGATACTGATTTGTCTAGCAAAGACTTTGCTGACAATATTTCTAACCAAAATACAACTTATTTACCAAGAGACTTGTCCAACATGAATAACAAAGAAAAGATTTTGTTACTTAAGAAGGAATCGCCAGAATTTTTACCCTGGACTAAAGAGGCCTTGCAATTTTTCAAACTATTGTCTTCCGTTCTTCATCCCGTGTTGCGTTGTTATTACATATACAAGGCGTCAACGGATTACGGAAATGTATGCAAAACCAGTGCGGCTGATCAAGACATAGCCACATTAGAATCATTATTTTCGAATATAAACCCCCAAATAATTAAATATCTATCCCTCAAACGACATCTTGTCTCTTTGTACCTTGTTAACTTTACCTACTACCTATACCACAAATCTTTGAGCCCAAAGACCGCTTCTGACACTCCACAACTAAACGTTTACACCCATCCCGTAATGATTCGTTTGAGGTCTTACAAAAAACTCATAGAGACATTGGATAAGAAAATTGATTCCTCCAATCCAACCCTGCAAGATGACATACAAAATTTAGCAACTTCTTTACCATCATCCATTACTAAAAATCCAAGGATCGATGTCAAAGTCCATGACAAATCGGCCAAAGTTACGATTGATGATGTATCAGCGAACATTCTTGGTTACCATCCTAGTCAATATCACAAAGTTCTCGATTTGTCAGAGTCCCTAAGGCCTACTTCACTCAAAACTATTAGTTCTCCTGGACCCACTTCCATCCAGAACCGGGAACCATTTAAATTAAACAAAGGTAAGGACTCTTACTTTAACACGAAAAATCAACGTAAGCAAGCGAAATCTGTCAAATTCAAGGAGGAAAATCGTACGACTGATATTTACAACTCTTTTCCGGCGGAAGTCGATATGGACGGTAAACGCCCTATCAATTATGAAATGGCTAAAAACAAGGGGCTCACTCCTAAACGCAAAAAAGAGTATAAGAATCCTCGAGTTAAACATAAGATTCGATATAGGAAAGCATTGATAAAGCGGAAGAGTCAAGTTAGAATACCCAAGAGAGAGATAAATAAATACGCTGGGGAATTAACTGGCATCAAGATCGGCTTGAAGCGGAGCATAAAGATTCGTTAAGAAATTTTTTTTTGTCTAAATAATTTGTGAATGAAGGAGATAAAATATGTAAATAAATAAAAGTTTATTTAAACATGTGTTATTACATTATTTAACTCATAAATTAGTCCAATATGATAAACATAAAAATTAGTCCCGTTATATAGGGAAAAAGGAGCAATTATAAATTAAATTAAAAGTGGCGCAAAATGAAAAAAAGATCTTTATATAATTGGGGATAAAACCAACCCCCCTATACATTTCGGAGCTCTAATTATACCTTTGGATTCAGGACGATCTCCTGGATGAAACTATCTAAATTATAATTAATGAAACCCTTACTTAGGAATCCAAAAGTATGACAAACCCCTAAAGAACACAAATGTTTTAATTTTAATGTAATTAAATCTAAACAAAAAAAGGACTTAAAAAAAATTATTTTATGGGAAATAAATCACCCTAATAAAGGGCAAAAATTAATATAATATTTAACACATGTTATGGAAATATAACAAAATATTTCTTATAAACTATAACACCAACTAACGGACAAAATTTCATATTATTTTAAAATTATAAAATAGCTTCCAATCAAAATAGATCAGAAAATACTATAACATTATAAAATGTGTAATTCGTATTCAATTTATATACTATAATTTGTAGCATAATAAGCGTATCAAAATATAAATTGGCGTAAAATTGTAAGTTTTAACATTTTGTGATCACGCAATCTATGAACATAAAGTTCTTATGTTGAATAATATGCGGTCTCCCATTCATTAACATATAATTGCGTAACATCACAACACAACCACACATATCACGAGCATAGAAAGTGTCCGGCAAATTAATCGCCTTAAATTCAAACATTAAAAAAAAAATTTTTTTTCACCTTTTCTATATGTATATATCAGAATAATATTTGACTATTTTTTTTTCTAAAAAAAAAGACAAGTCATATCCTTCGAATTTAATTTTCTTTTTCACTTTTTTTTAATTTAAGGCAAATTTTATTTTATTTTTACAAAAACGTGCCGGGGCACCATGAAGGAAACAAGTTATTTTTTGAGTTTTAAATTAATTTTATTTCTTCTTTTAAAAAATCAAATAATAATATGTATAACAATCAACTAGTTTATTTAATAAAACATTTTAATAAATATTCAAATTAATACTCAATTAACATTAAAATAAATTATTTCAACTGATCACAAATTTAAATTAACATTACAATAAATCATGTTAATTGAACACAATTAACAGTAATACTTGAAATCGTTTTAAAGAATTATATGCAAGATGGTTTAATTATTTGCAAATGGAATAATATAATTGTAACGATAGAAGAATTAGGGAGATAATATTGGCTATAATTAATTTGATAAGTTAAAAGTCTTAAGATTTTTTGAAATAAACAGATTAATTTATTCTTAAATAATGGATCTATAAAAAAACATAATTATTTTTGATAAAAATGGAGATAGACTATTCTAATTCTCTTGGCGACAACAAGTCTCATATTTTTTACTAATTGGAAAAATAATTAAGACACAAAAGTAACAATTTTCCTAGTCGCAAATAAGTTCATGATAAAAAATTGTAACACTACCAAATACTTCCTCACCAACACTGGGAACTATTTTAAGATTTGGGTGGAGGTCGAATCTTTTTTTCACTTTGTAATCTGTTCAGACTGGATGCCAAATCGTATGGGATAAATAAGCGAATATTTTTTGTGGCGGGTGACAATTTATACATAAAAAAAATCAAGGCCGGACCTCTCATAATATTTAAATAAAAAATTTTAAATTTCAATACCTTGAATAATATCATGTTAAGATACATTATAATATGCTTATTTTGTTGTATTCTAAGAGCTGTCATACCTAAAATACTACACCATAAACAAGTTATTTATGATATAATCCAATTACAAAATATACAATACAGATATCAAACACAATAGCTTAAAACGGTGATAGAATAGATAGTCATAGAGAAGAGATACAAGAGCTTTAATTTATAATGGGTCAAAAAATAGATATTAAAAATGTCATGCTTACAAAAATAGTACATAAAAATTTAAAGAGTCGGGGCAAACTCATAATATTTTAACTTATTCCTTTCATTTATCCATTCTTTCTTTCTCCTATCGCGCAAATTTAAAAATATGTATAACGGGTCCGGTTAGACAAAATAATAAAACGGGCCTAATAACTGGTGCGAAAATTCTTAATGGACTCAACTTTGTAGATCATGTTAAAAAAAATAACATACAATATAATATAATTCACCGAATCACTTAAGCATTTAGTTGAGAGAATAATAATTCAAAAAAAAACATATGTAAAGGAAATACAACAAAATATTTTATATAAACTATAACGCCAACTAATGGACAAAATTTTATTTTATTTTTACATTGTAAAATAACTTCCATAATATGTAAGATAAAGACAGGCAGAATTAGAAAAGAATTATATGATATAATAATTAAATAATTCAAAATGAAGAGTTATTGAGAGCATTTTTTAAGAATTCCTTATCTCTATTTTGAATATAAGAAATGCTTTCCTAATTTTTTTTTTAAATTTAAGGCTGTTTATATTTAAAGGTTCCTACCACCTTATTAAATAAAATACCGTACATCTAAATATTTTTAGATAGGAAATTAAATTCTGAGTTTAATGATATAAAATTTTTTTTGAGATATAATGAATACCAAATTTAATTTTTATTATTTTAAGAAATATTGTTCTATCTACAACCAATTTCTATTTAATAAGACCAAATTAGTTCATGTATTCGAAATCTTAAGCTCGATACTAACCGTGGGATTTCCAATGATACTCATAGCCATATTGAGTTATTATAGTTGTTGCTCACAGAGCCTATTTTAAGAACAGGAAAAAGATGAAAGTATCGTTTCATATGAATAAAAATATCATGATAAACAAAAGTAATGTTAGAGATGATAATACTTCTAAAATTCACGGTAATAGAACAAACTTTAAATTGAGCACTGAGGAGTCAAAGGCAACTTTGACACAAATAACTATAGTCATTCAATTTTTCATTTGTTAAATACCTCAGGAGATAGCATCTACATTTTACTACAATTTTATGTACAAATCTCTGAACGGTTTAAATTGCATTTTTAGGAATTATTTAGTGTTAACTAACGTTTTGTGGCAGGCTAACCATTGCCTCACTTTCTACATTTTTATGATATTCAACGATAACTTCAGGAAACTCGTGAAAAATATCTTTGTCCAGTAAATATAAAAGAAATGCAAAGTAAGTTGTTGATTGCGCTCAAATATAATAAATAATTTTAATTTGTAGACATTTTGAAATGAATTCGACTTAATAAATAAGGATGGAAAGTTTTTAAAAGCCAAAATCTTATATTAATAATGATATATATATCCATATGGAATCAAAAATATAATTTAGTAGAAAAATCGTATTTTATGCGAAAATTTTGCAATTAATAATTTCCATATACCACTTTATCTATTTATTTTTAGACCATATTTTGAAATACTTGCTTATTATTTTTTAATGATATAATTTTTAATTAATATTCTTTAATTTTGGTCATATAATTTATAATGTGTTACATTTTAATTCTATAGTATATAATAAACAATGATATATTTTAAAAATAAAATCAAAATATATATGAAGGGACAGTAAAAAAATTTACCACCCTCACAAAATTTAATTACAAACACCTCGAACCAGGTGTTATATTTGAATATCGTAAGTAGTGTTGTAATTTAGAAACAATTATAATAATCCGAAAATTAAAAATAGAGATTACTTGTTAACCTTTTATTTTATAACTTAAATAGAATTTCCCTAATATTGTAACATGCTCATAGAAAGAAAGAAAGAAAGAAAGAAAGAAAGAAAAAAAGAAAGAAAGAAAGAAAGAAAGAAAGAAAGAAAGAAAGAAAGAAAGAAAGAAAGAAAGAAAGAAAGAAAGAAAGAAAGAAAGAAAGAAAGAAAGAAAGAAAGAAAGAAAGAAAGAAAGAAAGAGAGAAAGAAAGAAAGAAAGAAAGAAAGATAGATAGATAGAAAGAAAGAAAGAAAGATAATAAATTTTTTTTAAAATACTTAAAAAAACACAAATTAGAGATAACTTCAAAAGTTAAATCTCGTCTTTTTTTTCAAATACCAGAATGAGACGCTTCCGGATTCTAGGAAAAATTAACGTCGCCTTAACTAGTTTTCGTAAATGAAACTTATAAATACTTCCTAAACCATATTCATCTAGTAGTAAGTTATTTACCAGATTTTGTCCTGTGGTTTCGGTGATTAGTCAAAAATTTTATTAAATAGCTCTAACCCATATCTGTATAACCCTAAGCATACTTCTGATGAGTTACAGGACAAACCTTATTTTGTACTAGTTTCGTAAAAAAAAAATATATATTATTATTCTATAATTGAACTTACTTCAACAATTGATCACTATAATTTAGACAATTATATCATAAATCTTGATTATTAAAGAAATACAAAGGAATAACATAAACAAGTCTACTAGACCGAACCACCTCTTACAATTATAATCAAATTCTAACCGATATCTATCCAACTATCTAATATACCTTACCAGGCCTTAGCCAATATAATCTTTCATTAAAAAAATATTATTATTATAAACTAACCCTAAACTATAACTCTTTAATTTTACCATAACCCTAAATCTCCTGTCAGGCTTTATCCTGTACCCATATCCGTTTCCGTGAAATTAAACCAAACTAATATTATTACAATCTTAAACTAAAACCCCATACCTGTAAGGCGATTAATATAGACTAGTTTTAAACTATTTCTGTCGAACCCTAATAAATATAAAACTATTAAACTAATTATACTGCATCAGTTTAACCCTAACCCTGGCTTGCCAAGTATCATCTAGTTTTGCTAAAATTAAGCAAAACATTTATTTTAGCAAATTTCGCCTATTAAAAGTCAAAAAATATATGGATTGTTTATTAAATTTAATATTACAATCATTAAAAAAATTTTTTTTTGCTCTTTTTGCTAGAAAAATTTTGGACTACTACCTTAAAACTTAATATGCTATTTATAATTAAATATAACACCAAAATAACCTTAATCTTTTATCGGTCATTGCTGACTTCTAATCTAGAAAAATTCTTTCAGCACTTGCCAAGGTTAATAATCTGGAATTCCTAAAATGGGCACATTTCCTTATTGCAAATAAATTTTAGTAGAACCTGCGGTCACTTGACAAAAAATATTATTTCTTCATAAAAGTCTGAAACATAAATATATGATAAAAAACTGCCAAATCTTTTACAATAGTTCCTGTTTAGACCCTTTACCTTCAGAGTTGATAATTTGTTTCTTTTAAAAATCGGTTCTGGAGAAAATTTTTGCTGGTATATCAACGGTAGATTCAGGCTCGCGAGCGTCTCACGACTGAAATATTCTGATATCCTACCTATATAAGAATAGTGGTTACACGACAAATCAATTTTCCTGATAGTCTTTAAAATTAAAATAATTAATATAGATAAACTTATATCCCTCATTTAAATGTTGCAACTGATTGCGTATATAAGATAAAAATTGTACTTAATATTCCTTACCAAATTATAACACAGCAGGAATTATAGTGATAAATATTTTTAGCAAGAACATGAATCGTCTTTGGTTCGAAGGCCTATGGAGATTTTTGATCCACATTTCTTATACATTAATACGTATTAGCTATTCTTGATTTGGTATCCAATTATGAAAAGAAGCTTTCAGCTGACAAATCTGAGTAATTACTACCATTTTACAAAACTTATCCCTTGATTAACTTAACATTTAATGGGATTGAAATTTGATCAATGCAAATCTATGGTATTATATTCTTGCAGATTTGGGTTAATGCAGGCTAAAAAAACTTCAGAGAAAGTTAAATGTTTAGATCTATTTGCCGCACCAAAAGCGGAATTGAGATTGCTCCTATCTTATTGGCAGTTGCTTTCCTTGGATAAACAATTCATTAAAACTTTTATATTCTTTTTATGATATGTATTCTATATAATGCCCCCCTGGCCAATAATTTTGCTGATTTTTGTTGGAAATATATAGGTTGCAGAAGATCAAGAAATTTTTGAATAACTAAAATTTTTATAATAAAATGTAAAAAAATATTTTTAATTATAATTTTCAAGGGCAAATTTCAAATAGCATAAATCCTTAAAAATAATATTTAAATTTATATATATTATTATTTTTTCCAATATATTTATTGCACATTATAATAATTGGTGGGGTTGGGTATGTGAAGTCAGTATCATAGAGTTATCATCAACCTGGAAGCGATAAATGATATGGATACGAGATCAAACGGCTAAAGAGACTCAAGATGTGTTCTTTCTTTCTTTCTTTCTTTCTTTCTTTCTTTCTTTCTTTCTTTCTTTCTTTCTTTCTTTCTTTCTTTCTTTCTTTCTTTCTTTCTTTCTTTCTTTCTTTCTTTCTTTCTTTCTTTCTTTCTTTCTTTCTTTCTTTCTTTCTTTCTTTCTTTCTTTCTTTCTTTCTTTCTTTCTTTCTTTCTTTCTTGCTTTCTTTCTTTAGTTCTGTTCTTTCTGAGGTGCCCGGTTAATTATTCCATATCCATTTTTTAAAAACGGCCACCACAATATTTTATTAGGAAAATTATTATTCAACCCTTAAGATTTTGCTCATAGTTGCCACAAAAATTTGAACACCTATCAACAAAATCTCGAGGATGACGTAAATATATTTCTGGCTAAAATATTAAGTTAGCGGTTATAAAAGATCGGCTCAATTCGAGCCATTTTAGAACACTAATTACATTTGATATATTGCCATATGACAAATGCCAGTCATTGTTTTTATGGCCTTTGGTAATACTTTGAGTCTAAGTTAAATATTGTGAATAAATAAATAAATATATCTATATTTATTAAATATAATATTTATTTAATTCGCACATTTAAACTTAATTACAAATATTAGTTAAAATTAAAAAATAACGAATTAAGTTAATTTACATTTAATATTTTGAATTTATAAATTTTTATACTAAAATTCTCACACTATAATTCAATAATTACTCATATGATTGAATTGAAGACGGTTTCTGGTTTTTTCATAACTAATTTCGAAATAGTAGGATATTGTTACATTTCACTAGTTTTAACAGTTCTGGGGATGGTAGGAAATATTCTAATGTACCTGAGCTTCAACAATTCAAGGAAGAAAAGTGGTGGGAAAAAACAAAATATTGAATCTAGTCAAATAACTACTTTGACTCATAGTATATATAATATTAAAAAAACAGTCATTGAGGATATCGAAAAGGGTGAAATAAAGAAGGACTTTTGTAAAAAAGATAAAGAAGGTATGAAGATTGAAGAAAGATTTTTATCGCCTAGAAGAAATCAAAAATCCAATGCTAACAAATTAGAATCATGTAAAAAAATGCACTCTATCAATTTGAATATTTCGCATGTAGTATCCAAGATTCATTCTATTGCCCGGAAGATAGTTAGCAGAAACAAAGGTCTGGCCACCGTCACCACTTTTTACGCCGAGTGTCTGTCTGTTAATAATTTTATATTTTGTTTGACGCTCACCCCATGGCCTTTGTTATATTATTGGGGAACCTATAATCAATCTCTGTTTTGGAGATCCAAATATTATAATTTATTCATGAGTAACATAGAGTTCCCTCTAAGAAATATTTGTTCAAAAATATCAACAGGAATAACATTAGCCATGACAGTGGACAGATTCATAGCTCTGAAGATGCCTTTAAGATATAAATCGCTATCTACACTGAAGAATAGCAAAATAGGTATGATAATCATAACTCTAGCTTCGGTTATGATAGAAAGTAGAACAACAAATTGGTTCCGCACGGTTTATGTCCATTTCATCGTCATGAAGAATTACTTGTACTACAACCCATTGTCGGATAAATATATCGAACGTTGGCTTTCTCTAAATAATTCTAATATTTCAAATATTCAACCTAATTTAATTCAGAGTAATTCTTCGATTCTACTAAAATCAAGTATCCAATATATCAATGTTTACAGTGGGTACTTCTTGGAACCTGTTACCCAGACCAAATTACTTCATATACTCGAAATCATATGCGAGATACTAGCCGTGGGAGTTCCAATGCTAATCATAGCCGTATTGAGTTATTTCATAATCGTTGCTCTCAGATCCTATTTTAAGAACAGGAAAAAGATGAAAGAATTGTTTCATAACAATAAAAATATCAATATAAACAATAGTAATGTCAGAGATGATAATACTTCTAAAATTAACGGTAATAGAACAAACCTTAAATTGAGCGCCGAGGAATCGAAGGCAACCATGACTCAAATAACTATAGTCATTCAATTTTTCATTTGTGAAATACCTCAGGCGATAACATCTACATTTTACTATAATTTTATGTGCGAATCGCTGAACGATTTGAATTGCAACTTTAGGAATTATTTAGTGTTAACTAACATTCTAATGCTGGCTAACCATTGCCTCACTTTCTACATTTTTATGATATTCAACGATAACTTCAGGAAACTCGTGAAAAATATCTTTTTGCCTAGTTAATATTGCAAACTATTGTTAAATGCGCTAAAATATTATGAATAATTTTAAGTTGTAGTCATTTTGAAGACTTAATAAAAAGGGAGGAAAAGTTTTTAAAAGCCAAAATTTAATATTAATAATGATATCCATGGAATCAAATATTTAATTTAACAGAAAAATAGTATTTTATGCGAAAATTATGAAACTAATAATTCCCATAAGAGAAGAGAAGAGAAATTTTTAGACCATATTTAGAAAATACTCACTTATTATTTTTTGAACATCCTTTTGATAGTTTCAAATTATTCTTTAATTTTGATAATATAATTTATAACGTGTTACATTTTAATTCTATAGCATATAATAAACAATGATATATATATTTTTTTTTTAAAAATCACAATGTATTATGTAGGGACAGTTTGTTCCTAAAATCTTCTTTTTTTAAAAATATTTACCATTCTCACAAAATTTAATTACAAACACCCTCGAACCAGGGAATTCTTATTCCTTAGGCAGACATACAAATAAAAATTTTCAAATTTAATTATTGTTCCTTTTTTCTAACACAGTTAAAATTTTCTTAATTTTAGTTATTATCAATTTATTTTATATACCTATATGTATTGCTTTAACATAATAAAAATCGAAAATTTATGGTTTTTTATATTTTATTTTTCATTATAATTATTTCTTGAATATCAATTATTATATTTATCCGAGCTATTAAACCATATAATTTTAAAATATATCAAAAAAAATACCTATACTTAAATTCTGATCTACCAATGCAAATGTATTTTTTTAATAGATACATTAAAAAAAGATATAATTTCTATACAATTTTTTATTTCATTTATTATTAAATTATCCACATATACTGTAATTATTTTTAAGGAAATATCCCCTTTTTTAACATTTTATTAAAATATTTATTCATATATTAAGTAGTAGTGTTGTATTTTAGAAACAATTATAGTAATCCGAAAATTAAGAGATTATTATTTTATTTCTTAAATAGAATTTCCCTAATATTGTAAAATTGTCATAGAAAGAAAGAAAGAAAGAAAGAAAGAAAGAAAGAAAGAAAGAAAGAAAGAAAGAAAGAAAAAAGGAAAGAAAGAAAATAAATTTTTTTTAAATACTTAAAATAACTTCAAAAATTAAATCTCGTCTTTTTTTATATATAGCAGAATAAGAGCTTCCGGATTCTAGGGAAAATTTTATGTCGTATTAACTAGTTTTTGTAAAAGAAACTTATTATAAATACTTCCATATAGATCTAGCTGCAGATACAACGTATAAGATATATAGTCTTAAAATATATCTAAATACAGATACAATTTTTATTATACTTAGGTAAGGTTATGCGTAATGTCTAATTTATAATTCTCTTGTTATAATTTAAATCTTGAAATGAGCCAAAAGAATTATCGATATATATATATAAAATATATAATTAAATGATATATGATAATTTTTTACATCTTATTACATAACAAAATATTTAATTAAATATTTATAAATAATCATAGTTAGATTTCAGTATACATTTTTCAAAAATTTTTATTATTAAAACATTCCATTATCAATAAAGGCGGTTGTTTAGACACATTAAAAGTTCTACCAGGGTAGATGAAGGCATTGTTGTGTTATACTTTCATGAATATATATAATGATAATCTTTACCAAAATCGCAACACTCATTTAAAAAAAAAGATTATTTAAAATTTAATGAGTGTCAAATATTTATCAATTTACAATTACTTGTAGACTTTGAAAGTTCATCAATTTCTGTATTAATTGGTTTAATTTTTTTAATAGAGGTTTTCTTCCTTTTTTATTTTATTTAAATCTAATCAAGTTTGAAATAAAAATGAATTTTATAATAGGCTTTACAAAGGTCTTAGAAATTAAATATTTGAACCAGCTGATGCTGAGTTGATTATTTTTTTGTATCTATGATATTGATGTGTGTATATAAAAATTTAAATTTAAATTAATGTAAATATTTAATATTTGACGTCATCTATCGTGTAAAAAAAAATTTGCCTGGATTGTTTTTGTAATGAAATAAATTCGGATATAATATTAAATTTGAAAAGCAAATAAATTATATCAAGAATATCTAAAATGTATCTAATAATAGATACAGATATTTTTAAAATTATATTCTATAGTAGAGAAACTTTTTAAAGGTGTAATTAAGATACAAATACCACATTTCTTCTTCTAGATAATTAAAAATATTACACCAAAAAAAATAGAAAATTTTTTAACTAACCTACCTTTTAAATAATATATTGGTCACTTACAAGATGACAATAAAAGCTCAAAAATTAGTTAAAATAGGCACTTTACCATTAGCAACATAATTTTTTTTTTCATTTTTTATGTGCAAGTAATTTGATAACTTTAAGTGACACAAAAGAACAACAATTAAATACAAAAATAATTTATAAACTAAATTTAAAAAAAGACATTAATTAATTATAAATAACATTAAGCAGAGCATATATTATTTTCTTGGTGAAATTTTTAATAACTACTGATTAAATGAATTAAAATGATTAATAATTAATCTTAAAGGATATTCAATGTCATAATACATATTTTTGATATTTTTGATGTTATATAACTGTATTTTTTTATGGATGGAACTTTATATCGACTAATATGCAATTTTGCAGTCATCTCCTGTAAATCATATCTTAGATTCTTTCCGCGTATCAAAAAATTTTTAAAAAAATGTCTGATAATTGGAAACCATTTAAAAAGATCAATATGTAAATGCTATTTGTTCAGTTGGTTTAACAATATCTCTGATTACAATTTTTAAACATTAGATCACTCCTCAGAGTTATGATCGGGTTAGCTTCACCCTGAACTCACAGTTAGCCCGAATTCGGGGCGAAGAATAAATACAAGCCATTTACCTTTGTATCTATATAATTTTCTTTTTTAATATAACGTAACAAGCTATTTGGCTATTTTTTTTACAATTAATTAAATCTTCTAAAAAATTTCAGAATCATAATAATTGATTAAACATTCAAAAAAAATATTTTTTTTGTTAATTTAAATAATAAAAATTAAAAACTTTAAATAGTGGATCTAGTTAGAATTATATTTTTTTACTTTTATAATTAAAGAATCTTAGAAAATTTTTTTAAATAAAAGTAATTAAACTAAAATATCTAATAAATAATTTTTATACCATTCCAACAATTATTTTTAATTAATAAATATTCTCAATTCATATTAAAAAAATGAAAATCCACTGAAAGATGATTAGAAACACATACTGTTAAAACTTTTTCTATTAATATTATATTAAAACATTACATTAGCTAACTTTGTTATTGAATATTGATAACTGTCATTAATAATTTATTTATAATTATTTTGGAAATGGTCATCCATTATACAAATAATTTTATAATTTGCTTTATAATTTACTTCCTGTTAAAATATTATCCATTATGGAAATAACGATACATTTCTATAATCAATCTTTATAAAACCAATATTCTATTTTGTTAAGCACAATATCAATTATAATAAATATCAGATACCAGTAGAGATACCATTTCCAGGGCCCGGCCCGAATTTTTTTTTCAAAAATTATTTTCGGCCCGGCTCGGTTTTTTAAAGAAAAAAAAGCCCGGCCCGGACTTTTTTGATTTTTATAGCTAATAATGCCGATTTCAAATATTTGGTTTTAAAATATAGTGCCAGGCCCGAATATTTTTTTAAAAAAATTTCAGACCCGGTCAGGGTATATTTAAAAAATCTAAAATACGGTCCAGCCCGTGTACCCGGGCTGGGCTTAGGGTCTGCAGGTCTCTGACAAATAATATTAAATAATTATAATTATATATATATATAAATAGTAGTGTTGTTATACTTTTGAAACATAACTAGTTACAGTATCTAGTTCATTGGTAAAAATATAACTAGATACAGTTACTAGTTACATTATAAGTTACTTTCTGGTTCTTATAAATTTTAAAATGGTCTATTAATTCTAAACATAGGTTTCAGGTTATTTAAGAATTAATAATTATTTCACTCAAATATTTGCAAATATGATATTTATATATTACAGTTGTTGCAAATATTTATTTTAAATATGTTGCAAATAATATATATTTTAATGTTAATTCAAATAGAACTGTATAATATTGGAGTTTTTTTGTCAAGAAAATTATGATAATAAGAATAATAAGGGAAGGGTATTTAGATAATTTATTTTTTATTTAATTATATATGCATTACTTTAGATCATAGAATTTACCTATTTTTTTAGAAGGCAAAAAAATCCTGAACAAGAGGACCATGATAAAAATACCCTAGATAATTCTCCAATTTCCAAAATTTAGCCCTATAGAATTAAGGTTATTTGATTAATCTTTTGTTGAAGAAATATTTGTATACTGTAAAATAATAATAATGACATTGTAATATTTATTTGCGCTGAAAATTAGGCTTAACCACTGGAACAAGGTTTTATTTGATTTATTGAAACTGAAAGGAAATATTGAGTCTTCGGACCATAAATTCAAAGGAATTAAATTTGTGATTGGCTAAATTGTGTGGGTGCGAATTTATAATTAAAAGAAGTATAAATGGGAAAAGGGTATTATAGTGGACAATTAAATTCAAAGTTAAGCATAAACGGAAACCGGGGTTGAAGTGATCCGTCATCCAACTCAAATAAATTTTTTTTAAAAATGTGAATTCAACATTATACAATGAAGCATATAAGGTCGTATCCTGTTTAATAAATATAATTAAAACCAAGTTTTTGTGAAAAGACACATTGATATATATATAAGTCAGGATGTTCGTATTATATTTCTATCAATATATATCTAAGCAAAAAAAAAGGAATTATTAAAATCGAACAAAGTAGAATTCATCGCTTTATCGACGAATTTAAACAGGCAAAAGTACAGATTTAATAAAAATCTTTGTATACTTTGTAAATTTATAGAAGATTAATAAAGATTAGGACATACCATAAATATTAAATATTTGGCAGTGTTACAATTTTTTTATCATGAACTTATTCGCGGACTAGGAAAATTGTTA